TGCCTGAACACCGATTACCAAGACGTGCAATGCTAAGCGGTGTTGGAGATGGTTGGAAGAAAGTTAGGGGCGGCCAAACCAAAACGTGGCGTCAGTGCTTGAAGTCACTAACTTCTAGTCTGAGCCATGTTGGTAGATGCAGACTACTTGGTTGGGGTCCGCGTGACTGTCGTAACCAATGGTTGGAGACTGTAGGTGACATGGCTCAGAATCGATCACGATGGCGTCGGTGTATACACTCCCTGTCTTCCCTTAAACTAAGAGATTAAAATGACTTCATATCTTTCTTTCTACGAACTAATTCTTTCTTCTTGTACTATATCCTTATTGCAATCTTTCTTTTATATATTACCACCTCTGAATTAACTACTTTTATGAATCCGGTGTCCATCTTGTTGTGTTAATGAGGTATGGCAACTTGGACCGATGCATAAACGTGCCTGGTCCTACGTTGTAGCTGACTGACTGAGGAAAGCACCCAACTGCGTCACAAGACAAGCCCTCACATGGAATCCTCAAGGCCAAAGGAAAAGTGGGAGACCAAAGAACACATTACGCCGGGAAATGGAGATAGACATGAGAAAAATGAACAAGAATTGGATGGAACTAGAAAAGGCCAAGGAAAGAGTGGGTTGGAGAATGCTGACTGGCGGCCTGTGCTCCATTAGGACTAACACGCGTAAGTAAGTAAGGAAGAACCATTACAAAGTTTCTCATTACATTTGACCATAGACTTACATAATTTGAAGAAACATGGAGGATTAGTGAGCGTTGAAAAGCTGCTTCATCCCAGATTATGATTACTTAGTGCTGGCACTTTGGACCACCAAGGCGGTTCAAATTAAGCTCCAGATATCAGCTTTCCGTAATACATCAACTCATGGACAAAACTGACTTCCATACGAACAGTTTCCAAACAACTCCCTACAATTCAATAACAATCGTTTCCCCTCTAGTAACTAGTTTTGGAAAAGATTCCCGAATTTACAGGGAAAAACCGCGATTGGTGATATTAGATGATGTTCATGCGATAGCTCAAATTGACTGAAGTTAGTGGTGTGAAACACTGATCTGTTATAAAGACCCTGTGCTCAATGACAAGTGTGCAGGGTGAATGAGCAATACTGATGATTTCAGACTGGAAATGAAGTAAATTTCCAGAGTTCACCAGTTTTTAAGTTCTTCAACAAATTGCCTCATAAATGGAAACTGACTTCAAGAGGTACAATGTCCTTAAACTTCATTTTAAAAAAGTTTCTAGTATTTAGTATAATTTTATGAAAGGTCAACATCTTGAAGCATTTTTGCAAGTGTCTAACGTATTGCGTTCTCAAGACACGAATATTAGAAAAATAAGTTTATTTTTGCAACAAGAAGCGTTCGTAATCAAATATGAGTCGTTATATATCATAAAAATGTTTATAATATGACATAATTAAAATCCTCACTAATGTGACACATATATCCTTAGTGTTAGACTCTCAATGTCTTGTGCATTAGTGTTGTCCCGACCGAAGCTGCTACCTTGACGCGGTGGTCGGGCTTGCCTATCGTGATGACCCAACCGAGCTATATTGGCTGGAACATATGTTCCTGTAGGTTCTACCATGCCAGTCAGGTCGATTGGAGAACGGTAAGACTAAAAGCAGCAACTCAAGGTCTGAGGGCGAAGTCGTACTGCTGACTGTAGAGAGGTGTGACAGCAGTAAGGTGTTTCCCTCGGACAACCAGCATCTGCAGCGATGCTGCCTTCCCACAAGGAGGGGTGGGGTTAGAAAAGGTCAACCCTAAAAATGTCACACCTCACCTTACCTCACGGATTTCCGTCTCCAGCGGTAAGGCCATTTGAAAAACGCAGCTAACACGTCAAAAACCTCCCATAAAAAGGCCGTGCGCGACCGGCCTCAAGCAGTTGTCCCTTGGGCTCTGCGGTCACACTCCAAGGTCGTTAAGACCAACATTATACCGACTTACTTTTCAGATTCCTCAAGAAATGCCCTTCCACATTGTGGGCAGCCGGGAAGTGACATCAGCCCTTATACCCGTAACAGCACACGAGACCAAGTTGGCCACATTCAAATCCTTCCTACAGCTCCTAATAACTCTCTTATCTCCATGACTAACCCTCCTCACGTCTCTTTATCACCTCGCACCGTTAAGGCAAACAATTCGAGTACATGAAACGCTATTCCTGGTCTCCTGAAACCACGCTCTAAACTACACGTAGGAGCTTCCAACGTCCAAACACTGCGCCAAATAGGACAACAGGCCTCCTTAGCTAGGACTTTAGAATCTCGCGCCATCGATGTGTGCTGCGTCTCCGAAACGCGCATACAGGATCCGAGTAGTGTCATTCATTTGACATCATGTCAAAGTGACGAACCAACTCGATTTACGCTTCGTGTATCTGGAAGCCCTGATGCTGCTTCCCGTGGCCTCACTGGCGTAGGTATAACATTGAGTCCTAGGACAGAACTAGCTCTCCTAGATTTCTGCGTCTTACTGGACGTAGGAAAGATGATGCAAGGAAACCTCTTAGGGTCTTACTTAATAATAGTCAAACTAAGAGTATATTTTAGGAACAACTAGAAAAAGTTAGGCATTCATGTCAGTGATGCCCACCCCAAGGCAGCGTGGAATGACACCCGAAAAGCTGTGGAAACAGCAGTGATATCTGCAAGTACGGCAAACCACAAGGTCAGGGAGCAACACTGGATCTCAGCAGCATCTACCGCATTGATAGATGCTCGGAAACTCATTCCATCTGGCTCTGAATATAACGAAGAGTGGAGTCAGCTTAGGCGCAAGCTGACAAGAAGCCTACGCACTGATCGCGAAGTGGTTGGTAGCGAGATCAAGAGAGATGGAAAAGGCAGCGGCGATAGGTAACAGCAGACAAATGCTCAGACATGTTAGGGAAACCGGTATCAGGAACCCAACTGTTAGCGAAACACTCTCAGAAAAAGATGGACGTATTATACATTCTCAATCTAGGAGATTGGATCGATGGGCAGAACACTTCAGCGATCAGTTCAACTGGCCTTCAGCCACACTTCGGTTTCCCACGATCTCTAGTCAACCTGAATGGCAAGTTAATGTAGGTCCTTCGTCCCTTTACGAAGTTGAAAAAGCCATAAGAAATCTGAAACGAGGGAGAGCAGCAGGCCCTGACAGGTTTACTCCTGAGATAGGGAGTGAAGTAGTTGAGTGTGTCGACCGCTTCACTTTCTGGGAAGTCTCATCAGCCCTTGTGGTCTGGTGTGTGACGAAATCTCAGCACGGATACAGAAGGCTCGACTAGCTTTAGCCAACTTGCGTCATTTATGGCGTAGGCGAGATATCCGTCTACCAACCAAAGGACAGGTTTACTGCGCAGCAGTTCGCTCCGTCCTACTTTATGGCAGTGAAACATGGCCGGTAAGAGTAGAGGATATTCGTAGGCTACTAGTATTCGATCATAGGTGTCTTCGAAACATTGCTCGTATATCATGGGACCATCGAGTAAGTAACACAGTTATTAGGAAACGGGTACTAGGTAAGGATGGCAAATCAATTGATGAAGTAGTGAAACTTCATCAGTTGAGATGGCTGGAACACGTGTTGCGTATGCCCAACCACCGGCTGCCTCTACGTGCTGTGTTCAGTGTTATAGGAGTAGGTTGGATGAAAGTTAAGGGCGGCCAGACCAAAACATGGCACAAGTCCATGAAGTCACTGACAAGTGGACTGAGCCATGTTGGTAAGTATAAACTACCTGGTTGGGGACCGCGAGATGATAGCAACCGATGGTTAGAGACCCTGAATGACATGGCTCAAAATCGTTTGCAATGGCGCAGGTGCATCCACTCTTTGTGTTCTCCCAAATTCTAATCTTCTGAATTCTTCATGTCCCTTTTTTCCTCTTTCCAAATTTGTTTCACTGGATTATACTCTTTAAATAACATCTCCAAACCCTAATCTTCCGATTACTGCTTATACTCTTGCTACCTGTACCACTACGGGATTTGAATCGACCACTGCATCTCTGTGCTAATGTGGTGTGGCAACTCGAACTGATGTACGTACGTACGAAGTTCTACGTTGTTACTGACTGACTGGGATTAGTGTTGCATTTTGGTTTTATAGTTTTCTCAGCCGAATACTAATGCAAAAGTTGTTTTACTTTATGTTATCAATTAAAGTTCAAGATAATATCAGAAAATGTATATTTAAATCAATCTCTTCATTCAGCGATATAATATCGTGTTTCATTCCTCCTAAATCCGGTTGCTGTAAGTCCCACTAATTCAAAAACAATATATGCACCTTATAAACAAAAAATGGATATTGAAAACAAACTAAGCAAATGAACCAAAACACCTACAGTCCAAAGTAGAATAATATCTGAATAAAAAGAATAGTTTCAGAGTATGGGTTTGTGGGGATTGTTGAATACTCTTAAGATCACAAACCGACCCAAGCTAAAAAGTCATTGGGAAACAGCTGTCTCGATAAATAATGGGGATCTTCAACATTGAGAACCCACGACCCTAGGGAGGATCGAACCCAGAACCCTCAAGTCCCTGTGGAGTTCGACCATGTCAGTTGAGACAGCTACCCACCGACGACCAGAAGATGGTTGTTTAATATTACAAATTGATTGACGTTAGACATATAAAACACATATCCTTGTTCAGGGATTCAAAGGTTAGGGGTTACCCGAAGGAATCCGGGTTTGATCCCCAGTGGAGTGGGTGTTGCTGCTCAGAGGTCTCATATTAGAACGATACATCCACCCAGTGCTTTTTCATTTTAAATGGTTTTCCAAATTAGGCCAGTTCGTTACCCAAATTAGAATATATTTCCTTCGGAATCAAAAATAATTCAAATGATATGTTTTGATTAAGTTATTTCGAAAATTTAAAACATTGAATAGATTAAATTTATCAAGTTAATATTTTTCATTCAACAATATAAACTAAATGAAGAAACACTAACTTTAGAAATCATTAGAAAATATACACATCTAGCAGCATTGTTGGAAATAAGTTAAGAGTTCAATAGGAACAGAAAAGATTTTTAAGAATCATCAACTATTTAAAATAAATAAACAAACGAGGAATATCAAAAACAAATACAAAATATTAATAGGCCCTATAATTTTTAAGATCGTCTAACATATTTAGTTGCAACGAATGGCATTTTTGTAACGGTATATGGATAGAATTTTTGACGAATTTGTACAAAAAGTTGTCGATCATTTTCACAATATTCAGATTTTACATAAGCCATTGCGATATTCTTACTTAATGTAGGTGAAAAACAACCACTTGTAATGACACCTATTTCCAGTTGCAAAGATTGATCAAAGATTTTTGCACCATCTACATGAGAAATAGAATAAATTATGATGAGGGAAATTTATCAAGACTATTTAACGGATGCAACAAATTTTGTGTGTCACTGATAGTTTAACAAGATGTGAAAATCGTAGTAGATGGACAAGAGTCCGAACTCGAGATTAATTTGTTGAAAAACAAATATCAACACATGGGATCTTAGTTTTAGTTTAACTGTAATCTTGATTGATTGCTGACTTTGTTAGTTAGTGAACCATTCATCTAAATTATTTATTGGTTGACCTCGTCAACAAGATAGTTTTGAGCAAATTGGTGAGATTTGGTTTATACAATAAAATAAAAAATATTACACAACGTAATCACCCAATTGTGTTGTTGCGCAATCAGATATTTTAATATATTATTGTATGAACTTTGAGTAGTAAGTTAATAGAGGACTGGCTTTCTAGCTTCGTTTTCTGACTGGCCACTGAGTTAGGGACTCGAGAACAGATAAAAGTTAGCACCTTAGTTATTGTTCACTGGTTTATGTATCAATTGGTAAACAGGTCCTACTGGCAATATATGTGAATTAATTGATAATCGGGAGAGAGAGAGAGAGGATTAAAACGACTGATTATCTATCATTACGGCCCGATCACAAGGAACCTGAAACAACCCAAACAAGCAAAAAATCTGTTTCTTCCGATATAATCAAATGATTGAGCTATGTATGGATTAACGTGATAGCTCAATTGTTCAGGCTATAATAAGGCATCAATTAATTATTCTAGCTTCGCACAACCTGATGAATTAAAGAACTAGTTTTTTAAGATTCAAAAATACGATATAGGATAGAACTGATAATATTTCAAGCAATTTATTATTTTCTGTGTAGTAAATGGTCACTTCAATGGATTCAAGTAAAATATTTTGAGGAGTTTATGTAGAGTGAAGTGAACTAGTGCTGATGATTAGTGAATAAAGGAAGACATATAGCTATTAACTTCCATGGATTGTCAGTGACATTAAAATACAGAATATTTCAATTCGATTTAATACGTACTTATCTGCTTACAGAAAAAATGGAGAATTAATAGTTCATAAAAATATTTCTTACTACTCATTGGAACATTTAATGAAAGTTCGACATTTCATTCTACAACTTATTACTCAATACTTCTACAATCAAATCAATGTTTCTGAACAATCATATTACCTTCAAAATGTCTATGAAAAATATTAAACCTTAATGATTTTCATGAATCATAAAATTCAAGTGAAATTTCTTTTATTTTTTGAACTTACTTCTTGCTGGTGGACCTGATTCACAAATCAAACCGATTCGTTTGTTTTTTAATGCACTTCTATTTTTCAATTGATCAGTTATAATTGAGCAACCAGGAAATTTTGGGTCTTTACACAAACGCCTTCGTTTTGCTGAAATATATTATTTTGTTAAAATCACGATTTTGATTACATTTGTATGATTATATTTAGTAAAAGTATACTGTACTGACAACTTTGAATGAACTAATCAGAATAAGGATAGAGCATTCATCATAAGGTGAAAGTAAATAAGAAACAACAATTATAATTAACTTTTGACTTTTCGTATTACATGGATCATGGAATTGCTCGTTGTCGACTTAGAAGACTAAAATTATTCCAGTACTAATATTTTATTAAGTTCATTTGGTATATTTTATTAGCAATGTGGTTTCTTAGTAAGATGAGTACATACTAAAAACTGGACTAAAATGTTTTAACAACCCCAACTGTTGTTATGCAAATTATTTACAAAAGACAATTTACTTTTCAAAAATTTGAATCTTGTAATCAAATCCGGACTAACGTCTAAATGAGTAAGTAATTAGTGTTTTTATTTATTTATATGAACACATAAATATTGGTCAAGGGTGCACCAAACTATATATGCGCCACATAATAAAATTAGATTGTGAAGATATGGAGAAAGGATGGTGGGTATAATCAAGAAAATAAAGAGAAATTAGTGTATGGGAATGAAATCATAATAAAAATAAAGTAATAGTAATAACAAAGGGAGAAGCAGTTCACTTAAAAAAAATACGACCAGAAAGGATTCTTTCAGTTAAATAAGTTACTCTCAATTATATGAAGAAAGTAAAAGAAAGTTATACCAAGATCACCACTGTCTTCTATTCTGACTTAAGTCTGATAACGCCTCAAGCCACTGTGTTGCATCAACGCTTAAAGTCCAACCAGGAAGCCATGAAGGACCAACAGCTTCCTTTCATACCATGATAGGATATCATAAACTGACCATCTCTCCAGTTTTTTCAAACCAGTCCCAAAGTTGGCAAACAATCCACGATGAGGAACTCGTTGAGACAACATAGAACACGTCCAAGCCACTGAAGTCAGTGTTTCAATATGGTGTGATCGACTGAAATGTTGACACTGTGTCTGAACACATGTTATCGAACATCCGTATCACTAATATAGTGTTGGCACTAAATGTTGGCAATATTTTGAAGACAACGATGATCGGACACAGAGAACCGTCTAACATCCTCAACTCGGAGGCCAGGTTTCACAAGCATAGAGCAAAACTGCTCTCACCGATGCGTTGTAGATCCAAACTTTTACAGCCAGACTAACATCACGAAGGAGCCAAAGGTGGTTCAGATTGGCATAAGTCGCTCCGGTTTTCAAGATACGTGGATTGATCTCATCACTGACACTACCACCAGCACTCACGCATCTGCCCAGGTGCACGAACTTCCTGACCACTTCTACCCACTCACTATCAAGAGTGAGTACAGGTTCAGAATCCTTTCGGTCTTGTAAACGTACTAAAGCACATTCCATAACTACGGACATTAATTGCCGACTAATTAAGTGAGGATTGCATGGATTGAGTATGATTTCACAGTAAGACGATATCATCCGCATACTCGAGGTCGAAAAGTACTTCTTCAGGTAACAGATCCACATCATCATGCCCTACATCCGTTAGAGCTACTTCCAGAACGCCATCGATGGCAAAGTTGAAAGGGAATGGTGATAGTGTGCAACCCTGCCTAACCCCACTGTCCGAACGGAACAATTGGAGACAGATGGTTGTACGCCCTTACTCTACCTGAGATGTTTGTATGTAGGGCTTTTAAGATATTAACAAACTTCTCAGGCACACCCTTCTTCAATAGACGATCCCAGAGCACAGTCTTGTTCAACAAATTGAAGGCAGCCCTGATGTCAAGAAACACAACGATTGTTGGCCTACAAAATGTATGGCGGTGTGTTAACATTTGGCGGAGGGTGAGTAGGACTTCCATGGCAGAGGCTATATACACGTGGCCATGTGAGAGCGTCTCGAGAGGGAGAGCGAACTCTCCCCACTCTCTGCCGTACCAGGGCGCTTGGGGGCATGCAAGTAATGACCGGGCCCAACGTTGCTTAACTGTGATGATCGGACGAGAACCGGTGCTCTCAACATGGTATGGTCGCCGGCTGGCATTCCATCAGCTTCACAGATTTTTTCACATCAGACTTCTTTCTGCCAGCGAATCGGGTGAGTTGAAAGAGCTACCGATAGTCATCAGATGCAGCTGCCGCTTCCAAATCGTTAGCACGCTCGACCATCAGGCTTCTAAGACCCTTTCACAAACTTGGCACAATCTCATTACGTAACGACCTTCGTTTATGGTCAAACTTGAGGTTGGTCGCTGCAAATCGATATGCTTCAACAGATTGTAAGAAGCCTTTAAGAACCCAGTGCTTACAAGAGAGACGTCTTGTGAAGTCGCAAGCGACCTTACGCGTCATTTTCATGGCTTCAACCAATTGCAACCAATGCTCATCTTGACTTTTTGGTAGGTTGACAGTCAGTCAGCTACAACGTAGGACCAGGCACATTTATGCATCGGTCCAAGTTGCCATACCTCATTAACACAACAAGATGGACACCGGATTCATAACAGTAGTTAATTCAGAGGTGGTAATATATAAAAGAAAGATTGCAATAAGGATATAGTACAAGAAGAAAGAATTAGTTCGTAGAAAGAAAGATATGAAGTCATTTTAATCTCTTAGTTTAAGGGAAGACAGGGAGTGTATACACCGACGCCATTGTGATCGATTCTGAGCCATGTCACCTACAGTCTCTAACCATTGGTTACGACAGTCACGCGGACCCCAACCAAGTAGTCTTCATCTACCAACATGGCTCAGACTAGAAGTTAGTGACTTCAAGCACTGACGCCACGTTTTGGTTTGGCCGCCCATAATTTTCTTCCAACCATCTCCAACACCGGTTAGCGTTGCATGTCGTTGACAGTTAACTTTGAACCTAGCTCGGTTTGATATTTAGTTGGAACAGAATCTGCAATCAATTTTCTGGCATCAATCCATTTAGGGCGAAATTTTTCGGTCACCGTAAAAAGTAAGATAAGATTATCACAAACAAGGGCATGATCATAGTTCAGATAAATAGAAATAATATATTTATAATATATTTATAACAATCAACCCAATGCTCAATTTATTCGAAATCATCAAATCAAACCTCGGTAATGATACCTATAGTTCAGATAAGTACTCCGAAAGGAGAGACAATCTTGCACACAATCACGCCAGCGGTAGTCAATCGCAGTATGGTCAATCTGAACCCAGGCTCGAGATTTAGAGGGAGGACGCCAGGTAGTACATCAGATATGGTTGTGACAATAGTTAGTGCTAGCCAGAAATAGGCTATAATCTGGGAAAAGTATCAGTAGACGGTTACAAGTATCCGACAAGCGACTAACAAGTCTTCATTGGCTACTCTACCGACCCTCTATTGTGCCTAGACGCCCAACATGGGCATCCAAGTTTCCGACTGGTACTACAATATCTGTCGCACGCACTTTCTGTAGAAGAACAATTAAACGGTAATGGAACCCGCTCTTTATTACAACCGGGCTGCAATTTGTCGGAGCGCAAGCAGAGATGACAAAGACATCGTTTCTCACGCCGATTTCTTCACTTTTTGATAGAACTTTCTCACCTAACTGTTAATGGAGATCCAAGCTATTTGTACCACCTCAGCTCTAGCGCTTAATGAGACACCAACACTAGCGAAACCAGACAGAGATATCACAGTGTCTCTGGACGGACGCACGCGAAACAAGCTTTTCGAAGGGATAGATGAAGAGCGAATTTGTAGTACTTCACTAGTCTTGAAAACGCGTCTCGGATAGACAGCAATCATCGATGTTGAGACTTTTTAAAGACATGACTAACCCTATATGTTGTCCGATTTGTATTAGTATGCAAAAGCTGAAGGACGCCAGTTTGAATGGCATACGTGGTCTCAGAAAGGCTGGTTCAGAATTCGTATTTAGTGGAAGCATTCAACTTTTGACCAGCCAGTGACTTGATATCGTTTAGATAGGACAGGATTTCCACCATAAGCAAGTTTCTGTATGAAGTTAACAATCAAGGAATATACAAAGTGAAAATAAAGGAATAGACAAGTGACTCAATGTAAAGACGAATATTAAAACGTAGTCTTAAGTATGATTTACGAGAATGAGAATTAAAGTACGAATAGTTCTTTTTAGTCTCAATCATCATTTAGTTTGCGTGTCGGTTGAGATATTGCCCGGATGCTCAAAATAAAGTGGATGGTTTGGACGCGATTTAGGATTATATATATATATATATATATATATATATATATATATATATATATATATATATATATATATATTGATGACATGCATTTTAACACACAGAATTATATATTTGGAATAGCAATGATTTTAAACTTACAAATAAGCCATGAAAGAGAAGCTTCAACTGGAGTTGTTTCTTCCGATATGTCGCTTCCATATAAGCACAATCCAGCTTCTAATCTCAAGGTATCACGAGCAGCTAACCCAATAGGTTTTACAGAAGGGTTCTTTACCAGAACCTCAGCAATCGGGATTGCTATTTCCGATGGGACACTGATTTCGTAACCATCTTCACCTGTGTATCCGCAACGTGTTAAACGAATATCACCATCAGGAGTATTCAAACCGTAGATTGAATCAATGAGCATACTTTCCATAAAAAAAAGATTTTCAAAGTTCCTTATATCAGTAGATGAGATACCTGCACGGAGAACTGAATATGAATCTGGTCCTATGGAAAATTAAACGGATATTTGTCAAGGAAAAATAAGAGGTAAAATTTAGAATTACTCGACTACTTTCAGAAATTTAATTAAAAAAAGCCAACCAACATTCATATTCCACATAGTAGAACAACCATTGGGGATCTACGGAAGTTCGAGTCGTTTAACTAAAAAATAGATTTCAGTTTTAAATATTTAAGCTATCAACAACAATTACTGCAAATAACAACTCACTTGGCACATTAAATAGCTTTTGTAAAGCTATCATTTTCCGAAGTGTATTAACATCGAAAATCGGTTTAGTTGGGTCGCAGGTTGTACATAATTTTTTTGGAAATTTACATCTCATTTGGTTTAACCTATAAACCAGTTACTAATGTATGTTAAATAGAACCGCACAATATACAATAAATCCAAAGATTTTTTGATCGCTTTTAATGTTTTTTGATATGGGACCGAAAACTTGAAACTAGTTATTTCGCTGATTAAGATTAACGTGGCATTTTTTAAAGAAAAAGCTAAGAACATTGTCAATGCTTGAGAAAAATATCCAAATTAACACTATATTACAAATCCGGGCAAGTTGATTGAAGTATGTAAGAAAAATAGAAGTGTGAGTTCTGTAATGCAGGTCTCCAGTTGACAAGCATGGAGGATTTATGCCTGTTTACCAAGTCAATATTGTTCTACTTAGTAAAATCCAGGTCCTAAGGTGCACCACATAAATGCCGATTAGTAGAACGGAAATTTACAAAAGTTACTAAGTGGCTATCATAAAACAAGTGAACGAGTTAGTTTTACTATTATTTGATGTAAGCTACCCTTACTTTGAAAAATTGCACATCCGTGCTAAAAACGCTCTACGCAACCTGCTTCAAAACTATTTTAATTCAAGAGGAAATATTTCTCCAATGAACCGTGTAAGTCTCATTAGATTAAGCTTCACAGGATTGATACTGACTAAACAAGACAATTTACCTTGCAGTGCTAGGAGAGAATGGTTTAGAACTTTAATGTTTATTTCTTTACCGTCATTTACGTCTTTAGTCATCATTTTCTGGAAAAAAACAAATCAATCTAATTATTCACTTACTGTAACATGATTTTTGATCTTTGATGAACATGCTGCATTTGAAACGATATACAAATAAGGTTCTTTGCATTTTAATATTATAGTATCATCTAGTATTCCGCCGCTACTTAACAAAAATACAGAGAGAGTTCCAGATGAAATAGGTAATCCCTCAATATCAGCACAAGTGAGGGATTCTAAGAAGCTAAATCTGTCCTTTCCAGAAACTTGCATCTGTTGTAGATAAATATAAACAAATTAACTTACTTGCAACATATGGGAAACATCAAAAAGACCGCAATGTTGACGCACAAATTGATGACTATCAATGATGCTTTGGTCTGAGTAGTGTAATGGCATAAGAAAATTGCAGAAATCAATCATTTTGGCTTTATGTGAAATATGAAAATCATAAAGGGGCGTTCTTTTCGAGGCTCCATTACTAAATGATCGTACGGCAGTAATGCATGACCCGCAAACTCGAAGTGGAAGTCTCATTTCAAAAAGTTGCCCAACACTTCAAATGTTTCAAATGGTTGTGGACGGAATAGAAGAAGCTTTCGCTTAACAGGCTTCCGTTTATAGTGGCAGGGGATCACCAATATCTCCAGGCAGTAACCTGGGTATATTATCTATAAAAGATTAGAAAAAAAGAAATTGGTAACTCATAATAAGGTGTTATCCGTAGTCCTTAAGAATAGGTCAAGTTTCCTCCTAAACGGTTCCTAGGAAGACGCTTGGACTAGTGCAGTCGACAGTGAATTCCAGCATTTGACAACTCTTAAGGAGTAGAAGTTGTGTCTACAGTCCGTTCTGCTATGTTGTGTCTTCAATTTCTGGGTGTTACTTCCAAGTTTTTTGTTGGGACTAGGCTTAAGTAGGTGTTTAAGGAGATTTCCAGAAGTAATAAGGATACTGCAAGCCATCAGAAGGTCACCTCTAAGACGTCTATACTCTAATGGGTAAAGGTTAAGTGATTGGAGGCGTTCTTCGTAAGGTTCAAATTTGAGTCCCCGGACTGATTTCGTGGCTTGCCGTTGGATACGCTTCAGAGTGTCCTTATCCTTTTGGAGTGAGGTAGGAAATATTATGTTTCCGTACTCTAAATGGGGACGAATAAAACTATTTAAGATTATGTGGAAAGTTCTCCCGTTAAACTGGCCAAAAATGCTCTTCAATGATACCAGTGCAAGGTTTGCTCGAAAGGCATTTTTGTCACAGCGTAAGACGTTAAATCGTAAGGCACCAGGACTCCTGAATCTTTTTCGACTCGGAATACTACTGGAGAGGAGTTTCTTAAGTTGTAACTGTAGTCTGCGACATGTCGCAGATGGACTACTTTACACTTTGAAGTGTTAAAGGTAAGCCCGTTATCGTCTGCCCAACTTTTAAGTCGAGTCAGATCCTCCTGAAGTGCCTTTGTATCGTCCAGGTTGTGTATCTCTCTCCCAAGTTTCATGTCATCAGCAAAAAGTAATAAGACTGATGACACCTGTTGTGGAAGATCATTTATATAAATCAAGAAGAGAGGAGGTCTTAGTACTGAGCTCTGGGGGACCCACTAGGACATTCCATAGCCTGAGATAAAGTGAAGTTAACCATGACATTAAAATGTCAGTTTTTCAGATATGAAATGAGCCAATCAATTATAGGGGTTGGACACCTAATCGATAAGACATATATGGTTAACCCTATCAAAGGCTTTTGAGAAATCAAGGTAAATGATATCAACCTTCCCCTTGCGACCAAGGATGCTTGTTCATCTGTCCACCGCAGTCAGCAGGTTGGTTATACAAAAGTAGTCCTTCCTGAAACCATGCCGTTGAGGTGAGAAGAAATTTAAGGACAGTAAATAGTCATGTATACTATCGTATATCAGGGTTTCCGTGATTTTTGAAGGTATAGAGAGAAGAGCCAAAGGTCGGTAATTGAAGGTTCGCTGCGTCCACCTTCTTTGAAAATTGGTGTGATGTGAGCCAGCTTCCAATTTTCCGGTAGTTTGCCTCGGCTTAGCGAGTGTAAGAACATCACGCTAAGCAGTGTTGCCAGGATTGAAGCTGCTCCCCTCAGTATAGCAGAATGGACCATATATGGACCAGGGGAAATGTCTTTTCTTAAGTGCTGTAGTTTCCGGAACACCAAGTCAGAGATTAGGTTCACTTCGGAAAGTTCTGTGTAGCTGCAAATGAAGCTGTCATCAGTATAGTTAATGTCGGTCGTTTGAAATGTCCGACAGTATTGTTTAGCCAAAAGGTTAGCGGCGTCGCCGTCGTTATCGGTCGGGCCGTTAAGACCTACCAGTTGGGAAACTCCAGTTTTCGCTTGACAAAGAGAGGCTGCATAACGGAATAAGCTTTCCGGATTGGAGACAAATTTATCTATAAGCTTTATCTGGTACTGAAGCTTGTCTTCTCTTATAGCTTTCGCGCATATGTTCCTTATACGTTTGTATTACCTGTACGCTCCATTATTGTCAGTTCATATCTATTCTACCCAACAGTGCCTTTTGCGGCTTAGCAGGCGAGGAGTGTGGTTCTTGATGATTGTAGGTTGCTTTGAGCTTTTGGGGAACATTTGGGAAACTGACTGCTTTGTAGCACATGAGAGCATGTGCATTATGAATTCCCAATGAGTATCCACATCGAGTTGAGGGTGAACATTCCCGTTGTAGGTAGTCCTGTAGAGCTGACACATTCAACCGTTTGAAATTCCAGCGCCTGTTGTTGGTTAAATATCTTAGCTCAGTTTCGCTGACAAAACTGAAAGCTATAACGGCGTGGTCACTTTTCCCCAGGGGATCCAGGATTGAGAGGTTGTCAACAAGAAATTCTTCGTTTGTAAATACACAGTCTAAGCGCGATGGTATCTAAATGTTTCCCCAACGAGTTGCCGATTTCACATTTCCGTATAATTCCAAATCTTTAATTAGGTTGAAGAACCGAGCTTCAGTAGAGTTTTCGCCTCTAATGTATGTATGTTCCGAAAAATAGTCTTTAGGAGGATTGAAGTCCCCTAGAATCAGGATACGAGTGAAACAGAGGCGCGTAGAGAGGGATAGTCCTACCAGCAAACGACTGTCATACTCGATGTCGGCAATGGGCTTCCAATATATGACTCTGACTAGGCGCCTCGAAGTAATAGACAATCTTACAGAGCACCATATGGATTCCTCATGATTATTGAACTCGTGGTTTGAACTTAGTGTATCTCCAAACAAGATCGTATGTATACGGCTACTCCACCCCCAACTTCTGTTTTTCTGTCGTTGAGTTACAAAGACATCTCAAGTATTGCTAGCTACCGGTCCGTAAACTGAGTGACTATCCAAGATTCAGATATTCTTATCAGATGAACCTTATTAGCATTGCTAAGTCCACGTAGCTCATCCATTTTGTTTGGTACACTCGCGGCGTTCATGTATAAGCAGTTTATGCTTTCAATTTGAAACGCGTGAGTTTCTTCCTGTTTGTCTGTATGAGCCTTACGTGAATGAACAGGAAGCTTACCTATATAAAAGTTTGCCGAATTGGTAGGCCCTTCAGACCTAAGACCTTATCAACGACGTACAAGAATACGCGAAGTGACAGGATCATATGGCCGTGCTAATACACATAACCCACTAGAGACAACTTGAAATACTATTAAGAGTAAAATAAATCTATTACGAACATGATATGAATCCACATACGACAGAACACTCTGTGGATCTAAATGAGTCTGCACGTCGAAAACTTCAAATAAGAAATGATTCTCAATTGATACGAAAATCATAACGATATTTGCGATTCTAATCAAGGTTGTTTGTGTTGTAATGTACTTGTATATGGATCGTTAGATGATAAGCTGACAACAGAACCTTATCAAGCAAAAACTACTGTTTCTAAAGGTATTACACAAGATGACCTGATTGAACTGGAACTCATATCAGAGAGAATTCCTAAGACAGCAAGAAACTCCCCAGACCTAGGAAAGAATGATGGACAGACATCAAGTATGTGAAACTCAACACAAATTTTCTATGTCTCTTCCAGAAAAAGTGAACAGATTGCTCTCTCTGTTATCATGTACCCACCCCTAACCTGTCTAAGTATCAAGACTGACGATGAGCACAAGCGTAATCAACATTCGAATAAGTAGACTAATAATAATCAACAAATTACTGCATGCACCACTCATCCATCAAGGCCTAGAATTATTACCATGCATGGTAATGAAGTACTCCTCACCCCAGCGTCACAATAGCAACTGATCACAGGACTAAACCACTTCACGATCTGCCGTACCGATCCACCCAAAAAATATGTGGCTCTCAGGCATAAAAACAAAAAGAAAACTTCCAACAACATACAGCTTATCCTTCTACAGCTAAAATTGATACAAATGGCTGTAACACAAGCTACAAGCTTTACATTCAAGAAATGCAAGGTAAGATGTCGATTTTGACGTTTATTTTGACTAATATTAATAATAATATATTTCTACCAGCGCAGGTACAGACCATTTTTTCAGTCATGATCTATAAGACAACATTTGTTTGCTTACAGTATGCTCCACAAGTAGGAATGTTAAATAAATTAAATCAATAATATGTACAAACTTGCATTGATTGTGAAGGAGCCGACCACGAACATCTAAGTAAACGTCAGAGTATTATTGCTCAAGTATGTGTAGTGGTATCGGGCCCTAACCACACAATCCTCAAAGCTGAACACGAGACAATTGGAGGAATAAATATTCATCATTTAACGCGGAGAAAAACCCAACGGTGAGGAAGGTAGGAACAATGAATTGAATGAATTCCAGTTGATCGGATGGTATGGCTCAGCCTTACAGGCGTGGTCTCTGCTAAGTGTTACCTATTATCTTTTATTCATATTCAATATATTGTTCTATCTTTAGCCCAAACTTGCTCCCCATCATATATTGGTGATTTTTACGATGCATTGAGTTGGTGTAGACAATGATGTGACTTCCACGTAAGATCTTATAGATTAGGGAGTTAAACCATGACGAATCTACAATTTTAGGATTGAACCTATTATCAGAGCAGTATTAATAACGAAGTAGGCCATAATTCTCCACGTTCACTGCTAGTCTGGTTTCTTCTGTTGGTAGAACTAGGGGCACCAACTGGTACGAAATTGGTGAGCCCTATTTTAAACACAAATTTAATTTCGGTTTTGCTTGCTATTATATCATTGTTTCTTTGCCTAGAACTAAAAATAAATCTCCTGATTATGTTAGACATAAACTTCGCATATGTATTCATAAACTTTGCCTTTTTACCGAAAAGTATTCGTGTTCTGGTCATTATTTTACCTTGTTCACACCACATTATTATGTTAGCCATATACAACGTGTCAGACTCAATCCAAACGGGAAACCTGGACGATAAATGTAACTTGTCACTGGTAGACATAGACAGTTATGACCACGAAAGCCCGGCCTCCAGAATTTGGTCGTAGTGACCCTAAGTAGTGGTTTGCTCAACCGAAGCACTATTTCACGAGGAACAACATTAAACCGGAGGGAGTTCGCCCCCAAGTTTCATGCTCTTTCCTCGCTTCTTTGGTCATCGAGGAAGTCAACGACTTAATTTTGAGTCGACTAACACGACAACCGTACGTCACTTTAAGACGAGAGATAATTAACTACCGATCTTTATCAGACGGCCAAAGAGACCAAAGCCTTTTCCAAGGAGAAACATTGGGTGATAGGTCACCATCACAGTTTTTACGTCACCTCCAAGTTTTAGTGGGCAATACAGTGGGTGAGGCAGTACCAAAAAATGATGGATAACAGCTCTCCTGTGCTACGTCCAAGACTGTTTGGATGTACATGACCCGAACATCACTTCACCTCGCTTAGCGCGTATCGCAGATAGCATAATGGAGATAGGTCCCCCAAATGGATCACGCATGATACATCATGCACAAGAAGAACCGTCAAAGTATTCAGGCAACTCAGAAGTCTGTAAGAGTGCTAAAAGTATCATAGAGGCTGTCACCATAATGCAAACTATCATAGTTACTGGAACAGGTCAACAAAACTACCGTGATCCCTTTAACAGACCAGGTCACGAACGTCGAAACAATGTAGATAGTTCTGCTTGTCAGCTTTAATGTTCTTCGCTTGCTTGTTTGCTTCTGTGTATTCAGCTTGTGCCTTGACTTTCTCTGCTCTTGTCTGGCTGTTGTTAATCGCAGTCTTTTTGTTCATCTCTTCTTGATTCTTGTCTATAGTTTCCATTCATAATGATGATGCTTCTTGTGACCCAGAAACTTCTGATACGTTGAGGTCAGTGCTTTTTTTACCCGTTTCCAGATGTTATCGATAGTAGTTCCTTCTTCCTTCAGTATATCCTATAAGGTTTGGAACCTATTTTTGAGAGTTAAATCGAGTTCGTTGATTTTATTAGTATCTCAAAGGAAAGCTGTTTTCGCAGTTGTATAGTGTTTCTAAGGCTTCAGTTTTATTCTGGCAACAACCAGGTGATGGCCTGAAGCCTTGCCAACCCGTTCACGGTTCTCACGTCTCCCACTGACCTGATTATTTTACCGGTGCGAATATGATTTATCTGATTTACTTCAGTGAGATCCGGTGAAACATGCGTAGCTTTGTGTACGTGTTGCGAGGGAATATTGTACCGCCTACAACCAATTTGTTGAATGCACATATATTCGCCGATCTGTCATCACCCTTGTTCCTCCTACCCAATAAGTCCATGTCATCCCACGATATCTCCACACCCCATGTTGTCCATTCCGACTTTGGCGTTTCAATCTTCCATAAGGATTGTCAAGTTTTTTCCTGGGCACTCCGCTATGATCGATTCCATCATTTTTGTAAAAATGATCTTTATTGTCTATACTGCTGTCATTGGAAGGCGCATAATATTGGATAACACTCATTATTATTCACTCCTTTGTTTTGATGATGCTTTGACAATTCAGGGACTATGAGTATCTCATCCCATAACTGCATTTCGTGTTTCTTTGAACAGCATCAAAGCAATTCAACGAGTGTGCGAATCATTTTTTCCCTCCAGACCAGAGTACAGCAGCATCTATCCTAAGTCTTATCTTCCCTGTCTAGCTTTGGTCTAATGGTTTCCACTGGTTTTAAGAACCACCAAAGTTGTATCTCTTTATTTCCATTGCTAACTGACTAGTCCTCCCGCTCTCCCGAATTGTCCGAACATTCCATGTACTTATAATATTGTTGCTTCGGTTGTTAGAAGATGCATCGGCCCCGCGGCTTTCGCAGAATCTCAACTTCCACCATGAGGAGTCAGAATTCTACTGAAAGAAGATCATTCCACTGGGAGGGCAAAGTTTAAATGTGTTAATTTTTTATCTTGGTTAGCGATATTTTAGCAATGTTTTATCTGTGGGATAGGTTTACTGACCTGACCCCGTGCCCTCCTCTTTTGGGACCGACAGTAACCACAGAAGAGCTACAGGTAGATTTTCGTTTAAAGTGTACAACAAAAATTTGGACTAGACACAAAATGTGTGTATGTAACTAGAGAGTCTACGGAACTATTCATCTTAAATCAGGGTTATATGAGAATTCGCAGCTAGATGTCTTTTATTCACGTTTCATAAATGCGATATGTCCTGTGAAAGATACAGCTGTTATTGAATATATATGTAGGTGTCCTTAAGCATTTTTCTACAGGTTTACTTGAAATTACTACTTGTTGTATATTTTTATTTGCTAGATGGTTTTACAAGTACTTACAAACATGGCAGTAAACTTTCAATTCACTTCAAGTTGTCATGTAAGCTTTCGTAACTCATGTACAGTTCATGTATTGCTGCATGCATTTCGCCAACTAAGTATGATACCCAGGTTTAATGGTGGTTATTACATTACGAATGTCACTGTTAACTCATATCACTGAAACGGTATTGACAGTACTTTTACACTTATTACACAGAAGACTAACATTTAAGTTTTTATAGTTACGGTTTTAGGGATTCTCTTCCAGGAATCGACTTATTAGCTCAGAGTGAAACGATTACGCAACCTCAGTCTATTTTATATATAATGGTATGCGATAGCAATCAGATTTATGCCCAAAACAATTCGTAATTGAATTTTCGACTGCGTGACGTTTGAGAAGTGACATGAGATGAACTGAGAATAAAAGGTAAATGAGTTTATGTTTAATGAGAATTCCGAGGATCTTTCAACAGTCTATAGGACAATCCGAAACGTCGAGGAATTCTTAAATTATCAGAATTCTTGAATACGTACCTATTAAATTCAGTAAAAAAATTGAGAGGAACCCTAGGTCAATCGAAACATGTGGGGTCTTAGTCGCGTTTTTATGGAAATTCCCTCAAAAATTTTAATGAGGTATCTCGAATTGACAAAAACTATCCCTAACTTCATGAGGTCGATGCAATTTCACCACGCTGGTTATTTGTGAAATCTTAGATTATTACATAAACACCAGAACTGTAGTATTTCCAACTTCCCTAGTCTACGTTGGAAATTGAATTCCTAACGCTACGCGGATCATTTGACAGTTTTGCTCTAGTGTTAAAAACTAGCTACATTATCCTTTTATTTGGAAAAATCAAAGATTTTGTTAAAGCTTATGGTAAATGTTTGTCATCCTATTCTGTTTGTTCAACCTTTGTAGATGTGCAAAGCCTAACTATATGGTATATACTATATAGTTAGATATATAGATATGCTAGGTGCACCTAGCATATATGTCTACGACGTTCTTCTAAATAATAATTATAGAATGAGATTCTTTTCATGAATACGATGGTTAGCTGATAGTCCATCTGTAAGGTTGCGCGCTGAATGTTCTTGGTCGTCGCGCCTTCTTACTTCAGTCTTCAGTAATAAGGATAGGAGGTCTGTCGACCTATATTAATCCTTGCAGTTTGTAATACTGTGGAGGTCCAATCTCGTTTCGAATATATTAACAGACGGTGCTGATATTACGTGTTCCGGTAGGGAATTCCAGTAATTCACTACTCGGTGCGAGAAACGGAACTCCAGACGTAAACGGTTTGATCTCGGTTTTTGAACTTTCTTTGAATGTCCTCTCAAATGATCGGTTCTAGACGGAAGCAAAAGATAAGACATGTTAATACCAAGGTCATCGTTCAGTATACGATAAGCCAATATTAGATCACCCCGTACTCTACGGTAAGATAACGGAAATAAGTTAAGGTGTCTCAGTCTGTCTTCATAAGATAGGCCAGCTAGACCTTGTACCACCTTAGTAGCTCGTCGTTGGACTCTTTCTAGCATATCTGCTTCATATTTGAAACAATGATTCGCTGCTTGAATCCCGTATTCTAAATGTGGTCGCACATAAATCGGGTATATTAATCCAAATATTTCATCATCTAAATACTGAAAAGACCTACGAATTGACCATAATACCCTACAGCCTTTTGCAGCAGCAGCCTTACAGTGACTAGTCGTTTTAAGATCATTGCTTATATAAAATATAAGTCTTTATAGTTTCTTGCTTTGGGTAGCACGAATCCACGTAGTGTATAGTCATACGATTCATCAGAGTTATTTAACTGCATCACTACACTCTTATTAGCATTTACTTCTAGTGACCACCTGTCTAACCATGCCACCAATGAGCTAAGATCGTCCTGTAATACTATTCTATCCGACATACTATGTATGGGTCTCCGAATCTTTATGTCATCAGCGAAGAGTAGAACGGATGATTTTGCTACAGTTGGCAATTCATTTACATAAAGTAAAAAGAGGAGAGGACCTAGGATTGTGCCTTGGGGAACCCCACTTTTTACAGGTACCCACGAAGAAAGAGCCCCATTAACCCTTACCTTTTGTCTCCTGTCATGGAGAAAGTTACTTATCCAATCGACGACTGTTTTATGGATTCCAAAACGTTTCAGTTTGAATTTAAGACCATAGTGTGAAACCTTATCAAAGGCTTTACTTAGATCTATGAAAATTACATCCACAGGAGCATTCCAATCCTTTGCCGCAGCCCATTCTTCTCGTGCAATGAGAAGATTTGTCAAGCAAGATAGGCCTTTCCGAAAACCATGTTGTGCCCTGGGAAAAAGATTTTGCCCTTCAACATAGTTTATAACAGCTATCCGAATGATTTTCTCCATCAGTTTCACAACTGCACTAGCTAAGCTAACGGGTCTATAGTTACTAACTAAATCCCTACTCCCAGCCTTATACACCGGACTTATTATGGAGTCTTTCCAGTCTCTAGGAAGTCTGGACTGTCTCAGAGACATGTCGAATAGTATCGCTAATGGTTCAGCAATTTCATCTGATATGGCTTTCATAATCCTAGGATGAATATCATCGGGACCACTGGACTTATCAGGTTTGAGATGCTGAAGTAGCCTTAAAACAGTATCTTTCTCAATGACTACAGGATCCATCAGCGAGCCGTCACGGTCACGATGAATCATTGGTCGTTCCTCATTACCGATAGAAAACACTTTACTAAAATATTCCGATAAAGCTTCAGCTTTTTCGGCATCATTCTCTGCTAAGATTAACGGATTGTCTCGTATAAAAAGTGATGGAATTCCATCGCTTCTATTAGTTCGCCTTTTTATATACGAGAATAACCGTTTCGGACTATATCTAGAATCCCTAACCAATTGTTTTTCGTATGAATGTCTAGTCTTGCTTATTAACGCTTTACAGGCATTCCTAATCTTACAATAACTGGATCTGTATTGTTCTAAGCCAGTAGAGATGAACATATTCCAGTGATTCTTCCTTTTTCTAAGGAGTTTCCTGACCGTTTTAGTTATCCATGGTGGACTATTATTCGGTCTTCGCGGTACCAGGTATGGTATGAACGGGGACGTAACTAGTCTAAATTTACCTTTAAATACAGACCATGCTTCTTCAACTGATATGCTAGTATCTACTAACCAATTTGTCTTAGCAGCGCATTCCTGAATGGCTGATATGTTAGCTTTCCATACATTTGGGCGCGGTGTAACCTGATCGTATAACATGTCCCTAGTTCTAAACGCGAATGACAAAACAGCGTGATCGCTGTTTACTAACGGTGGAAGAATATTTAGGTCGACAATATCCTCAGTCTCATAAGTGATTACCAAATCCAGCAGAGAAGAACCCTGGTTAACACCAAAACGTGTGGGTTGGGATACATGCTGCACTAGTGCATGCTCCATTATTGTTATCAGTGACCTACTATCAAAGGAGTTTATAGATCCTTCTGTGGTCATATCAGTCCAACTAATATCAGGTGCGTTAAAGTCTCCTATTATCAAGCACCTGGTATTATCACTCCAAAGATGAATGTGCTCTAAAACAAAGTCATAAGCTAAGCAGATTGGGCTCCGATAGATGACACCTAGCATAAATGTACTACATCCTATTGCCAACTTACAGCTAATGACTTCACAAGTGCCGCTATCATGGGATTCGCTAGTAAAGGAGCGGATATTTATGCCATTGGCGATATATAACAGGACGCCCCCTCCTTTTCTACATCTATGTCTATCACTCCTGATGCAATGGTATCCGGATAATTCTGGAATAATGTCTAAGTCATGGACCAACCAAGTTTCTGTCACTGCTACTATGAGTGGCTTTAACCTGTCTACTAGTGCTTCTAGTTCATAGAACTTATTTCGTAAACTACGAGCGTTGGCATATAAAACTCCTAAGTAGAACAGCCTATCCACACAGGCCTTGGTAGCATTCGCTTCCAAGACCTGACTATCCGAAAACCCACTAGTCGGAGATTTTCCTCGCCGTTTTGCCGACGGGTTTCAAGTTCAGCTAGTGCTTTCTTCCTTTTTATTCTATCTTCGAGAGACATGTCAGGTCTAACTCGGATGTCAGAATTGTCGTGACAACGAGCGCTACTTAACAAGAGATCCCGTTGCTTCTCCGATCCTAGGATTACCTTAAGGAGTCTGCATGGATGGGGTTCAACATTGTCCTCGGTCCTCTTGCCTATTCTTACCAATTTTTTGACCTGAACTCCTTTGGAGTTATCTGGTAAAATACTACGAATGTATTCTCCTAGCTTTTCTAAGTCATGCGCGTGTCTAATTTTCGAATCAGGGTCGTTTGACTCCCGCAATTTGCTCACAATAATATTCGATGTTATTAGATTTTTCTTCTCAGTCACACCAGGATGGGTTTCACTCTTACCTTCAGATTTTGGTAGTGCAATTTGTGGCTCACAATTTGGGTCCACCAGTGAGTTACTAACTACCTGTGTACTGCTTACAGGTTTTTTCTTTTCGTTTCGTTTCCTACGTACCGTAGTCCATTTTTCATCCCTCATAACACTGGGACTATTTGGAACGGTGACTGTTTTATCCAGATCTTCGGTTCCCATTAAAGGTGCATTATTAACAATGTCAGTACCAGGTGGTACTACTCCCCCTGGTAATGTCAACGAAGATTCCACTTTTACGTCGGTCAGAGTCGGTTGTTTGAGGCGTCGCGTAACAGCAGGTACTACACTGACACATTCGTCGCTGTCAGTGCCCGTGTTGTCAGCGCATATGCCATCCTTCTTTTTACAGGCCAAAGCCAACAGGCTCATAGCCTCCTGTATTAGTAATGCCTTGTTGGCACAGCAAAACATGCAAAGCCAATGTGAGTTAGGCTTCGAGCATCTTTTGTATGCGGTGGGACTTAAGCGGGTGCACATTTTGTGGAACCACTTATGGCATTCGTCACACTGCATCCCCTCTTCCACAGGGAACAAACAGTTTGGTTGCCCACATTTGTGAGTCTTACCAAACATTGTAATTCGATTTAAAAAGTTTAAAAACAAAAAATGATAACAATGTGAACACAAGTGTTAGTCAAAGACTAAAAACAGGTACTCAGGACAAAATGTAGCAAAAATTCCAAACTTTAACCAAAGAACTCTTAGTTAAAGTCGACCAAGAATGCTTTTTAGTGCAATAAGTACCAAAAGCAAGTATAATCACCACAAGTACAAAATTCACTGCCCTTTTTGAAATTAATGTGCTATTTTATTATAGACATGGCTAAAGAACATACGTGTTGACGATAGGGTTCTAAAACCTTGGCGGCTACCGAGCAGCAGTGTCCAGTAGTTTTCAGGTCTTGGCTAACGATGTCTTGATTGAAAGTACAAGATGCTTTTCATCTAAATTCGAAGTGTTACCTTGAAACTTGTCCGCATTAATGGCTAGTTTAATGATAGCGAGTGATGTAATTAGGCGTGTTAACTATTTCAACAATTTTAGTAGGGAGATGAATATGAATGCATGCCATCAACTTTCCCTACTTTTTGACTGTGTGAGGGCATATGTGACATACATCTGTGTTGTATGACAGTTGTAACGCATATTCGAATGTCGAGATCATATGCAGATTACAAGTATTTGATCCTATGTACACTATTCATTGTTTATGTATGGTAGAACCACTGATTTAGTAACATTAATGTTAGGGAGAGTGGTAGTTTGGATTCGTAGATAAGTTGATGCATGTTGAAGCTTCATCGACTAAAGTGTTTTGATATGTTATTCTGCGTGCATCCACGTTGTGATTGCTAGCATATGATACCTATTAAAAGGTTAGAGGAATATGGATAATGGTGTAACACAGTTTATAAGACCACTAACTTTGTCCATTGGTACAAAGGGGTACCAAATACATATGCGCCATACAATATAAATGAGGCCAGTAGTAGTTAGTATTGACTTGTGTGGGAGCTGTGGTATTGCCCGATTACCGAAACCGAAGGTGGTTTTCTTAGGTGGTCACACCCCGAGCCTTTGGACGAAAGGTCTAATCCACAAGACAGTGGAGCAACGCTAGGAGTGCAGTCCCATGGTGGTCGGTGACCAACAATAGGTTCATACGTCATTTGTTGCCTTAGGATTCTGGAGCCCATGTGCACCATTTGTTCGGAACTAGGGTTTTCCAATTCCCCTAGATGGACTTTCCATATCTATCAACCCGGTTAAAGCGCCAGACATCCGCTTTTTGTCCTCTTAATTTCGTAAACAACAATAGTGCCACGAGAAGGCAGTGAGTATGACTTCCGTGATAGTGGCTGTATACGCGTGACCATGCAAGAGCCTTTCGAGAGGGAGAGCTGACTCTCCCCTCCACGGCTGTACCAGTACACGTGGGGGCCGTAGGTAGCAACAAGTCACTTACGTTCAATCCATATACTTTACTGAAACTTTGCATTTTGCCATTGTGCACTTCGTTAATCTATTTGGACCTAAGTTATATTCAACTAATGAAAAGCATTATGTTGCTGCCTGACCAACATAAACCCCTGGACACAATGAAGTATGATAGTAGCTGTCCCGCTCAAATAAAACATTTTCGGCCGCACCTAGCATGGATTAACAAAAGACAACGAAGATCTATCACATCCTTTGTTCTCCAAAACGTGGTTCATTTGGATGTTCTGCTTCAAATTCATCCTTTGTCGTGTTTTACTTATGTATCATAAACCAGCGTGACTGAGTGATACCACTGTGTTCACGAACAGTTCAGTGATTATTCCACCAATTAGTTATATGACTAAATACTTAATAACAGTAGTTTGATGATTTTACTGTGCCTTATTTAGTTGTTTTTCTTTTCCATTGTTTTAGAACAAGCTTCAATACTCTTGTTTTATACTGATGTGTAAATCAACCAAACTGATCCTCTAAAACTACTTATTTGGTTTAAACCTACAACAAAAATGTTGTACTTTGAGGATTTCATGGAAGGTAAATCTAAATTTGTTAAGTGGCATCTACAGCAATTGAAAATATGCCATCTGAGCTAAATGAAAGCCTTACAAATGTTAGACAGCTAGACCTACAAGCTCAAAGTAACTTTAAAAAAGACAAATATTCAATTTTCAAGATATTTTAGATTCGCTATCAGAAACCATACAGACGTTTTTCGAAAACTGCAGGTTTGGTAGACTCTTAGAATATGAGAAAAGTACTCAGATTCTTAATATTACTCGGGTAACGTGTGGCATGTTATTACGAATCTCAACAGGAATATGAGCGAGCACTTGTTCATTGCAAGGACAAACGAGAAATAGTGGAAAATATGTATAACACAGTATGATAATTCGTTATAACTCCTATCTCAAAGTACCGTAAATTAGTGAGAAAATTGGATATTGAGTTGGAAAAGTTCCGAATTGAATTAGAGGCTGATAATTCAGGAATAACAGAACAAATAGAAAAAAGTAGGTTATTTTATTAAGAATATTGCACTTAAGGAGTTCAGAATGCACTTGGGAAAGCAATAACAACAAATTCGAAGGCAGAACGTTGGTTATTTCTTTATTAACATACGCTTTTAGGTAGAAGACAAAGACTGCGATTTCAGCAATCTAGTCATTGCAAAAATAACTTCTCAGTGAGAAGACGATTGGTTGGGCCGGCTTTCAGAGCAGCACTTAAATCTGCTTGCATGAGACCCATGCAATCGGGGGGAGTGCCGTCTCTGGAAAATACTAAGTTCTCACTAAATGGTGACCAAACGTCTTTTAATAGCTCCAGTTTAATCTCAACTTCTGGATGTCATGTTCAAGACACAGGATCCTACAGAAAGAACCCTGTTCATGCGGATGGCCTAAGTCCTCTTAGATCAATTGACGAAAGTAAGTTTACATTTTTCAATATACCCGCACTTCACTCAGCAATAAAACAAGTTGATATTGTGTCGTATAAAGCAGCGTTCAGCGTCTTTTCTTGTGCGCATGTATTTGAATTATATACTCACTGTTACTTTAGATAGAATGGATATCCAGCAACATGAAAACTCAATATTTACTGGCCACGTATGTTTGTGAGATTTATGCGTGATTTTTCTTGGTTTGGATAGTATATTTATCGCTTTTCATCAAAGTTCTCATCCGTCAAATAATGCCACAGGGCACCGGGTTATATTTATACTGTTGCCTGTGTTTGCAGCTGAAATAATTCGGCTAAGCTGTACGTGGTATTATTAGTTGTATAAAACTTAGTATATAATGAATGTATGTTAGCCTCATGATGACACCATCTAGAAACTTGTTTAAGGACGTGTTTTCGGAGAGTCAGTAAATCATCATTGCACCAGTCTTTGATGTTCTTTGTGCCGTGTGAATCCAAGTGGTTCCCGTCTCAAAGTCTAAGCAGTAGAATTCCACTGGTTCCTGGTTGTCAGGTAAGAGCAGTAAAATTGTAAAACCAACAGAGTCGATAAATACATAAGAGCGATGTTACGTCAGACCTCTGGAGTTAATTCGTCCGCTCTTCCTCGTTTCAGATTACTTTAGCTTTTGGAAATTCGATCAATGTTGAGTGGGGGGCGCAAGCACATGATGGTTGTCAGTGTATGGGTTCTAGGTAGTTTAAGATTGATCAGTTCATAATATGAATGAAACTCAATCTCCATAAGCCTATGCTGACTGGTTATAAGGCGGATATTTATAAAATTATGTTTGTAGGGACTCATTTTACAAATATCTTCACAAAAGAGAACAAATATTTGTTAATAACCATGAATCAAACACGAATCCTAAAATGCTAAAAGTACATATATTTTTCAAAGTTTTCTGTCATACGTTGATATATCGAAAACCAATATTTAAGTGGAAAATCCTTGTCACATTCCACTTCACTTTCTTGAAAATATTTTTGTTTGTAGACTCAATATGTTTGGACCATCAGTCCAGTGACAGTTCCTACGACAGAACCTTTGAAACGTAAGTTCAAATTTCCTTTGAATAATTTAAAATGCATGAATTGCACGGGAAAACCCCCTTGTCATGTGTTGTTCATTTTTAGTATGGAAATCCTAGCTTTATGATGCCTGATTACGATCATATACACCTTTCACTGTTTTCAGTTAGTGTTATTAGTGATCAGAATACGATTGCATAACCTATCACCAACGATTTCAGCGCGATATTAACTTTCGCCTAGTGAAACAGTAAAATGTGTACAGCTGTGACCATCATCAAGAACCTACAGTTCCCATAAATTTATTGAAAATAATCGGAATATCTTTTGACAATGACTTTTCACATGGTTTAATGAGAATTAGCCTCTTGAATTAGGACTCAGCAATTACCAGTAGTTATGCGTACTAGCTCCCATGTTTGTTATCCCTTTAAACTAAATAAACTTCCTAAGGATCAAAGTTTCTATTTCTAAATACTACGTTTCCAGGCTTTACTTGTTTTTCTTTTAAGTCATGCTATAATTCGGCGAGTATTAACATCATTTGAAAAGGTAAGGTACTATTGAAGTGAAGGAGAACACAGTTGAAGACAATCGAATTATATTTAGCACAACATTACAGAGTTACTTGGTAAAATAGAAAAACGATACAGTCAGTCTGTCAGTCAGCTACAACGTAGGACCAGGCACATATGTGCATCGGTCCAGGTTGCCATACTACATCAGCACAACAAGATGAACACCGGATTCATAGCAGTGGTTAGGTCAAAGGTGGTAATATATAAGAGAAAGATTGCATATAGAGATATAGTACAAGAAGAAAAATGGGTTCGCAGAAAGAGAGGTATGAAGCGATTTTAATCTCTTAGTTTAAGGGACGACAAAGAGTGTATACACCGACGCCATTGTGATCGATTCTGAGCCATGTCACCTACAGTCTCCAACCATTGGTTACGACAGTCACGCGGACCCCAACCAAGTAGTCTTCATCTACCAACATGGCTCAGACTAGAAGTTAGTGACTTCAAGCACTGATGCCGCGTTTTGGTTTGGCCGCCCATAATTTTCTTTCAACCATTTCCAACACCGGATAGCATTGCACGTCGTGGTAATCGGTATTCAGGCATACGTAACACGTGGCCCAACCATCTCGGTCGATGAAGATTCATAACCTCATCAACTGATTTACCATCATTTCCTAATACCCTGCGTCTAACCTCACTATTACTTACCCGGTGATCCCAACAGACGCCAGCACTATTTCTAAGGCATCTGTGGTCAAATACTAGTAGCTTACTCTTAAAGGCCATGTTTCGCTGCCGTAAATTAAAACAGAACGGACTGCCGCGCACTATACTCGTCCTTTTATTGATAGACGGATATCTTGCCTTCGCCATAGGTGACTTAAGTTGGCAAAAGCCAAACGAGCTTTTTGAATCCGTGCAGAAATTTCGTCAGACACCAACCCATTAGGGCTGATCAGACTTTCAGTACAAGTGAAGTTGCCAACGCGTTCGACTACTTCACTCCCTATCCTTAGTTCAGGTGTTAAAGCAGACCAGTCCTGAAGCAACAACTTGCATTTAGAGGGAGAGAAGCGCATCCCAAACATTCTGGCATTGTTGCTTAGTGCTACCAAAAGACTCAGCATTTTATCAGCGTCTTCACCAAACAGGACTGTCATCTGCGTATTCTAAGTCGATAAGTGGGCCTCCTGGAAGGAGATCAATACCCGAGAATTCAGTCGACGAGAAAGTTATTTCCATCAATAGGTCTATGATGAAGTTAAACAAAAATGGAGAAAGTGGACAGCCTTGACGGACACCACTTGAGGTTGCAAAAGTAGATGACAGTTCGCCATAAGCTCTGACTCGACTAGTAGTGTTCGAGTAAAGAGCCTTCACAAGGTTTATGTACTTCTAAGGTACGCCTTTCAATGACAGACACTGCGACAGAATCTCGCGGTCTACAGAGTCAAATGCTGCTTTTAAGTCGAGAAAGACCACCATTGTCGGACGCTGATAAGTATGCCTTTGTTCTAGAATCTGACGAATGGTGAATATGTGGTCGATGCAGCCACGAGCAGGTCTGAAGCCAGCTTGGTTCTCTCGTGTTTGCAGTTCACGAGTCTTAGTTAGGCGTCTGATAATTATCGGGGCTAGTATTTTAGATACTGTAATACCTAAATTGCAGAATGTTCAATAATTGTTTCGGAGTTCATTGTTCCTGCATTTCTATTCCTTTCTTGACCTTCCCAATCTTCTGCTGCCAGACATTACATTCCTGACTCGCGTTACATACTACTTATGTCAATATAGGTAGCACGCGCTACACCATGTACAAAATACCACGTTCAGAAACCCAGTGACACAACTGGATCTAAATGGCATGTATTAGGACTTTGGAGTATTCACAATTAAGTGATCTTCTTTAGGTCGATTTGTGGTATAGACGTTTATCGTCAGTGATTAGAACCCATAAACGATAACTCAGAACTATTCACGAGTAATTGTTAGTAACTGTAACGAAAATATACATTTTCGCTGCGCTTAGTATATTAGATGGATTTACACTGGGAAAGGAACCAGGTGTTTTTGTGAGTATTCTGAGTTTTTTAATCAGATACGATGTTACGGAAAACCCATATAATGTCATAAAATGCTTGCATGGTAATCTTTTGTTTTGGGTTTTACAGGATTAATCCACAAACTGGAGGAGTTACAAAGTTCGAAGAGGATGCTGCAAGCGTTCACAATGCAGGTGCTGGATTTTCCACAATTTTGAAAAACAATTCGAGCTTGCTACCAGATATGTCGCTGGATGCTAAGACTCATACTGGAATGCACGATCGTATTATTAAAAGTACTAACTCTTCCAGTGGTCATTTATTTTACGACACAGCAGAACCTAACTTTACAGATCGTGACAAGCTCAATTTAACACCAAAGGCAGGTTCAATTGAGAATCAAGTGACAGACAACATTAGTTCACCCGGATGGCCCGGTTTAACACAAAGTTTTTCTAGCGTTCGGGATAAACGCCGATACCCGCGAAGATTTGATAGAATAGGGCTAGCATGTGACCTTGCAGTTGATGAGTTCGGAAAGCTTGATGATTCACCTAATTCTAGTGTCAATGCAACGCTGGCGCATGGATTTGACGATCAAACGTATGAATTTAGTGGAAATCCGAAACCAGAAGATACTACCGACCCACCAGATGATGATGAAGATTACAAGCGTTACTGTATATGCCGAGATGTGAGTTATGGTGACATGATAGCATGCGACGCCCCAGACTGCCCCTTCGAATGGTTTCACTACGCTTGCGTGAACCTAACCGTTGCACCAAAAGGTCGGTGGTTTTGTCCTACTTGCGCTAAATCCTTACATAATAAGAAAAGCATCAAAAAAAGTTCATCTAGGAAATAATGATTGCTCCAGATGTTCAGGGAACGCGAAAGAACCAATAAAGTGCTTGAGAGCAATTCTGATATATTCATGATTTTTAAACTGGTGTATAAGCACATGAAATATAATGTAATACGCTGCGATATTTATAGACAAAATTTAGTGTAAACAAAAAAAAGAACAATATTATTTGTATGTACATGGTCACAGTGCCTGATACATCCAAGATGCATAGAAATTCGTTTGTAAACAATGAAATTTCCGAAGTCACTCTATACATTGTTCAAGTAGCTTGTTGGAAGCGTAAGAAATTTTTATTTTAAGATGATTGCGTCGTTGGCGAATACATGTTTGAAGTCCCAACTACAGAAAAAATAAATGAATAATTGAAACAAAGGATACTTAGTCATTATTCAACATTACCTCAGTACTGTTTCCTTAACTTTCGTGCGATATATAAGGTGTAGAAAACAGCTACATTATGTTTTTTTTGTAATATCTCAGTAAACAATAAGATGAAAGTACAAAGGCCCGTGACCTCGCTTAGTTTTCTATGTAACTAGGTATCTACATTCTTTTCTGGATATTTTCTTGGTTATATTTACATCAGCTTATATGCAGTTGGTTGTATTCCAATTTTCGAAGTCAGAAGCTGTTTTGACTGTTTGTAGGGGAAAATACAGTCAATTTACCGTCTAGTATAGGGGTTGTGGAGATTATTAAGTTTTTGATTGAGATCATGAACCGATTAATATTGACCATCACAATTGAAAACCTGGAAGCACTGGACGGCCGTTTCGTCCTAGTATGGGACTCCTCAGCAGTGCGCATCCACGACCCTGCGGGCGGGATTCGAACCAGGGCCTTCGGTCTCGCACGCGAACGCTTAACCAACTGGGCCACTGAGCCGGCATCCAATGGTGATAGTTTCTAACACCAACCAATCCACGAAATTGCGCGACCAACTTCCATTGTACTGAGGTAGATACCTGTCTCTACCCGACAAGGATTAGCTCCACTGGTCACGGCTTCTCACTAGAACTCCGAGAATTCCCTCACGAAGCTAGTCACTAGTGAGCACATGTTAATTACTAGTATAGGGGTTGTGGAGATTATTAAGTTTTTGATTGAGATCATGAACCGATTAATGTTAGACCCTATATCTTGTGAGAGTTTTCAATTAGAATTGATGGGATTAAGTGAAGTTACATATATGAAGGAAGTTTTTAACCTGAAACTACGTTATTTCTTTCTTAGAGTCTCATCATCTGACTCCGTTTCTGACGAACAAACCCGACCGTTGATGCATCCTTGACGTGGTGGTCGGGCTTGCCTATCGTGATGAAGCAACCGAGCTATACTGGCTGGAACAACCGTTCCTCAAGGTCCTACCATGTCAGACAGGTCGGTTGAAGAGCGGTAAAACTAAAAGCAGCAAACCCAAAGTCCGAAGGCGAAGTCGTACTGCTGACTGTACAGAGGTGTGACAGCAGTAAGGCGTTTCCCTCGGACAACCAGCATCTGCAGCGATGCTGCCTTCTCACAAGGAAGGAAGGGGTTAGAAAAGGTCAACCCTAAAAATGCCACACCTCACCTTACCTCACGGATTTCCGTCTCCGGCGGTAAGGTCTCAACAAGTACGGAGCTAGCGCGAAAATTACTCATGAAGTGGTTCTGTGTGACCGGCCTCAAGCAGTTGTCCCTTGGGCACTGTGGTCACGCTCCCAGGTCACTAAGACCACTTGTAATCCGACTTCCTTTTCAGGTACCTCCAGAAGAACCCTTCCACGGTGTGGGAAACCGGGAAGTGATAACCGCCCTCATAGCTCTAACAGTACTCAAGACCACTGTATCCATAATCAATCTCCCTCTTCAATTCCTATTATTCCTCATACATCATTCTTTTTTCGGCTTCCCCCAACGATTCTAGTGCTCAAAACACTGTCGCAGGTCTACTGAAACCTCGCTCTACACTACACATTGGGGTCTTCAACGTACGCACCCTATGTCAAATCGGTCAGCAGGCTTCCTTGGCTAAAACCCTAGAATCTCGTACCACTGATGTATGCTGTGTCTCCGAAACACGCATACAGGATCCCAGTGTGGTCATTCACTTGACCTCACCTCGGCAAAACGGAGAGCCAACGAGATACACCCTCCGTGTATCTGGTGACCCGATGGCCAGCTCTCGTGGACTGGCAGGAGTAGGCATAGCACTAAGCATGAGGGCGGAACAAGCACTGTTAGAGTGGATCCCCGTCAACAATCGTCTATGGGCTGTTCGGCTAAACGGCTCCGTAAGAACTCGGAAGAATAGGGACACACGTCGTTGCCTTTTTGTCGTTTCTGCCTACGCTCCCATTGACTGCAGCTCAGATGTAATGGAACCAGGTCAAATGTGTCGAAACGTTAGGATTAGTACTAGTAAACGACAAAACATGGTTTAGGTATGAAGAATGAAATCTGAAAGACTTTAAACAAATTTTTAACTCCATATAACCATTATTTGTGAAACGCAGCGAAAAGTAATAGATTGTGGACGATTGATGAAGTTATGGCACACGAGTGTTTAACGTACGTAAAAGATACTGATTAATTATAGTTTTTGTTGTGACTTTCACTTCTTTCAACGTAAGACAAAAGGAGGAAGTCATTTATTAGGATGAAAAACGTTCACAGTCTTATTTCAACAAACCCGTAAGTTGCGCAGCTAGACTCAAATGGTCAGACAGTGACAACGTGGAACTTCGTACTTACGTACGTACATCACTTCCAATTGCCACATCACATTAGCACAGAGGTGCAGTTATCGATTCAAATCCCATAGTGGAAAACGGAAAAAAGTATAAGCCGTAGTCGGGAAGATTAGGGTTTGAAGATTTATCCAAAAAGTATAATCCATTGAAATAAATTTGGAAAGAGAAAAAAGAGACAAGGAAAATTCAAAAAGATTAGAATTTGGTAGATGCACCTGCGTCATTGCAAACGATTTTGAGCCATGTCATTCAGGGTCTCTAACCATCGGTTGCTATCATCTCGCGGATCCCAACCAGGTAGTCTACACCTACCAACATGGCTCAGTCCAGTTGTCAGTGACGTCATGGATTTGCGCCATGTTTTTGTCTGGCCACCCCTAGCTTTCTTCCAATCTACTCCTATACCGTTGAGCATCGCACGTAGAGGCAGCCGGTGGTCGGGCATACGTATCACGTGTCCCAGCCATCTCAGCTGATGAAGTTTCACTACTTCATCAATTGATTTGCCATCCTTACCTAGTACGAGCAATGTTTCGAAGACATCGATGATCGAATACTAGTAACCTACGAATATCCTCTACTCTTACTGGCCATGTTTCACTTCCATAAAGTAGGACGGAACGAACTACTGCGCAGTAAACCCGTCCTTTGGTTGATAGACGGATATTTCGCCTACGCCATAAATGACTCAAGTTGGCTAAAGCTAGTTGAGCTTTTTGTATCCTTGCTGAGATTTCGCCATACACCAGACCACAAGGGCTGATGAGACTTTCTTCTTTTGATTGTCTAACGGATAATTTTCCACTACTTCAGCTTCCGATTTGAATAAGTTTACAAAGCAGTCGATGCCACTTGTTACTTGTATATGTTAATGTAGATGGTTGCTTGGTGGGCGTTATGAATAGGTTTCGTAAATAGATTTGGTAGGGGATTTTGTGATTGGTTTAAAATAGCTATCTGTAGAAGGCGGGTAGGGTAGAAGTATTAACATCAAGGTTGCGGGACAAGATGACGAGTGATAATTCAAAAATAAAACGGGGTAAAAAGATGAGATTATTCTAGTTAATGTTCATAAAAAATTCGACCATGAACTAAGTAGCAACATTTCATACACGTCATATTGTATTGGATTTTTGTGTAAATGAATCAGGGATCTTATCGGATGAAAATTTGAGGTAGTCCAGTGTTGTACTCAAATGTGTTCTCCATTATGAGTTCTAAGGTCTGTTATGCCATCCACTGATCAATCCATGTTATGTTAACTTGTAAGGTGAATCTACGCTACGGCCAGGATAGATCTTAATATACTCTAAGCTGACTAACTGGTTCATTTTTTTCAAGGTCTTGGGCTACATAAGCATTCACCCTAATACAGACACAGTCTTGTAAGTAGGAATTCAAACATAATAAGGAGGATGTACGTCTTATGCCCCATGGAGGGTAAAAGGTGCAAGTAACGTTTTGTGTTGACAGATTTGCATGTTGAACCGGAGCCATTAAGTGCTTTAGTTCATATTTTCAGAATTTACAGTGCACTTCCAGGCGGCCATGTTCGCTCCTGTATAACGAAAAGACAACTGAAGTTCTGCTAATACCTAGTTTACCGAATACATGGAGGTCGATTTTATTTATTCATGGCCACAAATATTATAAATAATTAAGTTAATTAGTTATGCAGATTTATCAAATATATTACTTACCACCATGATCATTTTGTTCGTGGCTTCTTCGTGACTCTGTATCAGGAAAACATTTCAAACATTCATGACAAGCAAACACCTTTGAAGCTGAAAAGTCAAATGTTCAATTAGTACTGTTTCACAAGTAGGGAACTCACTATTATGGACCGTAAGGTTGTGTTCAAGAAGAGCGAACTTTGATGGAAATAGCATATTACACGGGGAACATAGGCTGATTGAATCTATAAATTTAGAAAGATAAGATCTGAGGTTAGGCCTATACACTATTGATTGCGCTTATGTTGCTAACTGAAGTAAGCTTGGATCTTGTTTACAAAAATATGTAAAAAGATGCTAAGTTTCACAAATATTAATGATCTCATAGAAAAGCAGACAACACTTTGAGAAGGTAATAAGGATTGAATTACCTGAGTGCACAGTTTTTGTATGACGATTAAAAGCAAACTTGGTTGAAAAACTCCTGTTACACAAAGGGCAGATGCACAATTCCGCACCTAAGTGAAATATTTGAAAATGGCAGTAAGTATTCATCAAGTAATAGAATGCCAAATGCTAAAGCCGGTGTGAAAATACTCACTTTCGTGTATCAGTCTCATATGGCGCTCTAGACCATGTTTGGCAGAGAATTTCTTCCCACAACAAGCACAAGGAAGAACAAGTTCTGATATACCTAAAAAATATTTGGAAATAAAAACGAT